CTCACACCCCGATTAGCCAGACTAGCCCCGACCAAAACTCGCATCTTACTTCGCGCGACAACCCTGCTGACTCTAAACTGTTTGCTTCAGACATCCTCAGACCCGCCTTGCAGGTCGACACGATGCATCGGTAAACGATTTCTTGCTGGGGTCGGATGTAGGGGGTTGTGTTATGAGGGTTATTTTTCCCTCCCACTTAGCAAGGACGAGCCCGCATTGCAGGGTTGGTTCGGGTAACAGCGACCATCCCTCATAATAATTTAAGGCTTGGCTTTGGGCTTCCTGCAGACGAGAGCGTCTGGAAGAACGAAATAGCCACGAGTATCCATACGACTATTGCAACACTTCAGTACGAGAAACAGAGCTTTGGAGCAACTGCGAAGAAAGTAAGACCCTGTGCCACCTCTGACGCGCAAGCCCCCAACTTCACCCCCATCCCTGCACCCCTACCTTCAAACCCAGAACCCTAGGAAACCATCGCCCTGACGCCAAACACCTACCCCCGAAGCCTGAATGTCGGCAGAGGGGCGTGCTGACATCCTCAACCCTAAACCCGACCTGGGGGACTTTTCAGAAGATGCGTTACTGGAAGGTGGCCTTCCCGAATGTAAGGTTTGGGTGAGGTTGTGTTTTTTCTGGTGTTGAGTTATGGGTTCAGGGTTTAGGGGCATATAGTCTGGGGCGAGATAGGCATTAGGGTTCTAGGCTTTGGGTTCGAGATCCAAGGCTGTGGATTAAACATTGTACATATATCTAACATATATATATGTATGTATGTATGTATGTATGTATGTATGTATGTGTGTATGTATGTATTTATGTATTTATGTATGTATGTATGTATGTATGTATGTATAAGTATGCCTGTGTGTGGGTGCGCATGTATGTATGTATGTATGTATGTATGTATGTATGTATGTATGTAAGCATGTATGTAAGGAAAGAGCTTTGCTCTACATTCATCCCAGCCCCTGTTTTGAGCCCTGGCTCTGTGCTATCTGCGATTCTGAAACCCCTACACTCGCAACCCCATCTCGATAAAACTCAAACAACAAACCTCACATGTATCAACCAAGTCCTGTGCTTCACTGATAGGTAGTACATCTCACTAGAACAGTGTGTCGGCGCCAAAGCCAGGTCCGTCTTGTTGAATGACAAAACCCCACATACAAGCCCCAAGCTCCAACTTCTAAGCCATAAGCTGCCCCATCCTTGGTGGGGGATGATCTCGCGAGCGGCGGCGGCAGTGGCAACGATCAGGGATGGTTCGGCTGGTTTCGTGGAGGTTTATACGGCTGTGTTTCTACAAATGGCGGCAAAACGTGTCAGGAGTCATGGGCCATTGCGACATGGACCTGGACTATGAGACTGTGTCTGTTGGCCAAACCACCGGGCCGGCATCGTGCAGCATGGACTCGGCCGTAGCAAGCAAGCTTCGAGACTGCCACTTTGACGCGGCTCAGTGAGGGCTGCATGTGCTGGATCTTTGCAGCTTTTTTCCAGCAGCCACCTTCCGTCCGGACCCTTCAGCCGAAGGTTCCACTGGTGGAACGCCTGGCGCTTTTGGGTGAGGCCTAGACTTTTGCCACACCAAGCAGGGCAGATGAGTCGGGCGGTCGACACTTTTAGGGCTCAATGGTGTTGCTGTAACCTTTACAATTTCAATCCCCAAACCCTTTTACACCTGGACTATGCATCCTAAACCCTAAACCTCAGAACCCGGCACCCCTGTTAACACCTTGAACCCCACACTCCCTAAACCCCAGAACCCTGAACCTCGTAACCTGAAACCTTTTCACAGCAAGGAGTCCTCCAAACTCTTTCGGTGGCCGACCGAGACGAAGGCCTCTGCAGGGTCTGAAGAGGTTTTGGCACTCACACTCGCACTACAAAAGGCAAGGTCTGTGGAGTGTTGGGCTCCAGAACTTTGGCGCTAAACTTAGGGGCCTTGGAAATCAAAACATGGTGTTGGTGCATCCACAGCACATTAGCATAGTATACCTAATTTTCACTCTAAGGAGCCCTAAAGAACAGTAGTAGTAAGTGTGCAGGCTTCGATATTCGGGTTCAGGGTCTGGGGCTCAGGATTTCGAGTTTCGACTCTCGAGTTACACCAGGCGATTCCGGGGTTTGTGGTGGGGATGCTCAGTTGAGCACAAAACTTATAAACTAAACTGACCTAAGCTATAAGCACCACGTGACAACTTCGGATTACATCTGCTAGAACACTACCGCGAAAGGACTGCCCAGCTGCGAAACTTAGTGCTTACTCGTTCTACTCGGCCTTTACCCTCCGCCTGCCCTATGACACAAGGACAGAAAATCAAGATTTGTTCGGCTAGGTTCTGCGAAATGCATAAGGTCTACGGCCGTGCTTGCCGTGTGCAAGACAAGCCAAATCCACACCCCTCCATAATCGGCCCGATCGCCTTGGGGCACAGTTCCACAGCTGGACTGCTGTGCCCGGAAGGGCCAATGCTAAAATTGTATGTCCTAATTAAGAAACACCTTGCTTGACGGTATCTGTTGAGAAGGCGAGCCTGAACGGCTCTGTGTCGAAGTGCAAAGTGTCAGTGTAAAAATGCACAGTGTCTACTACGTTGAGCTCACCTATGCCTTGAAAGGGACCGACGAGTGGTGGAGGCAGATGCGCACCTTTCCATCCGGGTTCCTCTTGTAGCCAAACGTGTACTCCACTTTGGTCTTGCTTCCATCCGCTGCGCTAGTGAAATAATAATTCCCCATTGCGAGGGCAATGTTGCCTTCTATATCGATCTCGTGGTTGTCGAACACGACATCTGACCAACCCTTGCCCCCATTGATGGCGAAGCCAGCATCCTCAGAGTGACCTTTCTCAACTGATTTCCTTCCGACGAAATAGGACATTGCATCCTCGGCAGTTGGACGGAACTGTGCTTCTGCAGCCTTGGTGGGCTTGAACAGGACCTTCGAGTGACCATAGCCATAAAGTTCGCCCGCGGCTTTGGTAGCAACCGCCACAAAGTCGCCCTTGTTAAGGTAGGTCTTAGAAATGGTCTTAATGGCATTGGCCCACGCAGCCTGCACACTGAGCACATCCTCCTTGGAGACAGCGCCAGCGGCCGGAGGGCTGAATGGCACGGACGAGTGGTGGAGGAAGATACGCACCTTCCCATCGGCGTTTTTCTTGTAGCCAAACGTGTATTCCACCGTGGTCTTGCTTCCATCCGCTGCACTCGTGAAGACGTAGGTCCCCATGGCAGTGGCCGTGCTGCCCTCCGCTACAATCTGGTTGTTGTCGAACACTACATCCGACCAACCCTTGCCGCCGTTGATGGCGAAGCCACCATCCTCTGGAATTCCATCATCGACGGCCTTGCTGCCCACGAAGTAGGACATGGCCTGGGATGCCATGGGCCGGAACTGGACGTCCTTTGCCTTCGTGGGCTTGAAAAGCACCTTCGTATGGCCGTACCCGTACAGCTCTCCTGCTGCCTTCCCTGCAACTGCCACATAGTCCCCTCCACTCAAGTAGGTCTTCGAGATCGTCTTAATGGCGTTGGCCCAAGCTGCTTGCGCGGCTCTCACCTCCTCCTCCGAAACTGCCGCGACTTGTGCAGGTGCGGCTGGGGCGGCTGAGCTGAATGGCACGGAGGAGTGGTGGAGGAAGATGCGCACGTTTCCATCGGAATTCTTCTTGTAGCCAAACGTGTATTCCACCTTGGTTTTGCTTCCATCCGCTGCGCTCGTGAAAAAATAGTTCCCCATGGCAATTGCTGAGTTGCCATCCACGTCGATGTCGTGGTTGTCGAACACAACATCTGACCAGCCTTTGCCGCCATTGATGGCGAAGCCACCATCCTCTGGAATTCCATCGTCCACGGCCTTGCTGCCCACGAAGTAGGACATGGCCTGGGATGCCATGGGCCGGAACTGGACATCCTTTGCCTTCGTGGGCTTGAAAAGCACCTTCGTGTGACCATACCCGTACAGCTCACCGGCTGCCTTCCCCGCTGCTGCCACATAGTCGCCTCCATCCAAATAGGTCTTCGAGATCGTTTTAATGGCATTGGCCCAAGCCCTCTGTGCGGCTCTCACCTCTTCCTCGGAAATTGTGGCGACAACTTTGCCAGTTCCTGGTGGAGGGCTGAATGGTACGGACGAGTGGTGGAGGAAGATACGCACCTTCCCATCGGCATTTTTCTTGTAGCCAAACGTGTATTCCACCGTGGTCTTGCTTCCATCTGCTGCACTAGTGAAATAATAATTCCCCATTGCAGTGGCTGTATCTGCACTCAACTCGATCTGGTGGTTGTCGAATACAACATCTGACCAGCCTTTGCCGCCATTGATGGCGAAGCCACCATCTTCTGGAATTCCATCATCGACGGCCGTGCTGCCCACGAAGTAGGACATGGCCTGGGATGCCATGGGCCGGAACTGGACATCCTTTGCCTTCGTCGGCTTGAACAGCACCTTCGTGTGACCATACCCGTACAACTCACCGGCTGCCTTTCCCGCAACTGCCACGTAGTCGCCTCCATCCAAATAGGTCTTGGAGATCGTCTTAATGGCGTTGGCCCAAGCTGCTTGCGCTGCTCGCACCTCCTCCTGGGAAACGGCCGGGGCGCCTCCTGTTGCTGAAGCTGGGCCGGAGCTGAATGGCACGGACGAGTGGTGGAGGAAGATGCGCACCTTCCCATCGGCGTTTTTCTTGTAGCCAAATGTGTACTCCACCGTGGTCTTGCTTCCATCTGCTGCACTAGTGAAATAATAGTTCCGCATGGCAATTGCAACTTTTTCAATCTTGTGGTTGTCAAAAACAACGCTTGACCAGCCCTTGCCGCCGTTGATGGCAAAACCGCCATCCTCCGCAATTCCATTATTCACCTCCGTTCTTGTTGAAAAAATCTACATTTCAGCTACAGCAAGAGCTGGTTGTAGCTGGCAGCATGAATTCCTTACTATACTAAGACTTTGAAAGTATTCTGAACAAGAGCCCAGTCACAGC